TGTGCATGGGGGGGGGGTAGGATGGTTTCATCTCACATGGGACTAGAGAGGGACCCAGGGCCTTGATCCCAGGTTGTTAAGAACCTGCAACTCCCCCTAAAAGACTGTCCCTCCTTAGTGTTAGCTCCATTGGGGACCGTATCCTCCTCTTACCTTGCTGCTTCGAGATGGAATTTGTGATGGTCTGGTCCCAGTGCTTCACTGTATGGGGGGGGGGTAGGATGGTTTCATCTCACATGGGACTAGAGAGGGACCCAGGGCCTTGATCCCAGGTTGTTAAGAACCTGCAACTCCCCCTAAAAGACTGTCCCTCCTTAGTGTTAGCTCCATTGGGGACCGTATCCTCCTCTTACCTTGCTGCTTCGAGATGGAATTTGTGATGGTCTGGTCCCAGTGCTTCACTGTGCAGGTGTATGTAATTCTGTCCTCCCAGTCTTTGCGGGTGATGGGAAGGGAACTGGAGGCAGTGTAGGTTCGGTTGCACTGTGGCTCCAAGGCGAGGGGATAGGCGATATTGCCCCCTAATTTATTCTGGGTCCAGATCACACTGAGTTTATCTGTGTTAGGCAGGTTGATCACCAGGCAGGTGAGCTTGGATCTCCCGCTTGCAAGTTCAGAAGGAGATGGAGGCACGATGAAGACACTGATGTCACCGGTGGGGCAGGGGAATTCGCCTTCAACTGCGGGTGAGAGGGGTTTGGAGGGTTCTGGGAGAAGGGTGGCAGGTGTTAATTACTGAACAGACCCCGGATGAGCCCTCCTCCCTTTTCCCTGTAGCAAGGCCCTACCCATCTGGCATTCTACTCCTGACGGCACGATATCCCCTTCCGAGACCTCTGCCCCTTTTCCCAGAAGTGCCTCACCCGGTGCTTCTCTTTACAGGGTCTTTCTTCTCATCTCTCTCCCTTTCTGTGTATGGCCCTGCATGCTCCCTGTCCAGACTCAAAGCCACTAACCCAACCCTGGACATTTCTGTCTTTCCATGGAGTATTTTTCCCTCCATCCGCCCACACCAGCCACTCCACCAGATCACCCCACTAGCAGGCTCCCACCCTCTCTCCACTGCATCAGTGGCCCTTCCCTCCTGCTCCCCTCCTTCAGCTGCATTGCTCCTACTTGGGATTTCCTTGCTGATGCTGGAGCCGGTGGGCTGGTGCTCGACATTACAGTAATAAGTGTTGGATTGCCAGTTGCTGGCCGGGACGGTGACCTGGCTGCTGAGTGAGTAGAGGCCGGTGGAAGTTTGCAGCACGGAGGGGTAGTTCTTCACACCCTTAGTGTCGGGGCGCCACTGCATGGTGACCGGCTCAGGGAAATAGCCTTGGACCAGGCAGCCGATGGTGACCTGGGATGCTTCTCTGGCGCAGGAGGTGAGGGGGAAGACGGAAGGGGCTGTGGGACTAGCTGCAAAAAAGGAAGCAAAAGACCATGAGATGTGGCCCCAATTCAGCCCACACTATGGAGGTCGGAAGACAGATGGGCCTGTGGGTGCTGATGCAAAGGTAGAGAAAGCAAGGTCATGAGATGCAGAGCAAGCCCCATAACATGGCAGCAGGGTCTAGCTCTCCCTCCTCCTCCCCTCATGGATCCTCCCCCACACTCTGTTCTGGCCCTTCCCCTGTTCTCATGATGCCCCCAAAATACTTGCAGGACAAGTCGGTACAATACCGGAAGGATTAGAGGGGAAAGATAAGAACATCAGAATGGCCAGACTGGCTCAGATAAAAGGTCCATCTAGCCCAGTATCCTGTCTGCTGACAGTGGCCAATGCCAGGTGCCCCAGAGGGAGGGATTGCAACATGTAATCCTCATGTGATCCCTACACTGTCACCCACCTCCAGAGGAATAGAAGCTGGGAACACAATTCCTACCCATCCTGGCTAATAATAGCTGTTGATGGACCTAACCTACAGGAATATAGCTAGCTCTTTTTTGAACCCTGTTAAAGTCCTGGCTTTCATCACATCCTCTGGAAAGGAGTTCCACAAGTTGACTTTGTGCCGAGTAAAGAAAAACTTCCTTTGCTTTGTTTTAAACCTGGTGTGTATTAATTTCATTTGGTGACCCCTAGTTCTTCCATTATGGGAATATGTAAACAACTTTTCTGTGTTTGTTTTGTCCATACAAGTCATGATTCGATAGACCTCTAACATATCCCCCCTAAGTCTCCTATTCGCTAAGCTGAAAAATCCCAGTCATTTTCATATCTCTTCATGTTTGACTGGCTCCAAACCCTTCATCATTTTTGTAGCCCTTTTCTGAATCCTTTCCAATGCCAGGATATCTTTTTGAGATCAGGTTACCATATTGGTACGCAGTATTCAAGATGTGAGTGTACCACGAAAGTAAGGCAGAGAGAGAGAGAGGGAGGGAGGAAGCTACTGATCACAGGCCATCAATGGCAGAGTCAGGTAGAGAATCCAGGAGTCCTATAGCCCAACCTCCTGCCTATAGACTGAACAGTGCCCAGCACAGGCATCCCACATAAATACCCGATAAATGGTTAATTTCACAGACTGGAAGGTTGTTCTTCATAACCAGAGGTGGCATTTTCCTGAGGAACCAAATACAATTAGGTGATGATATGGCAGAATCAAGGTCCCCTTGGACCAATCCCAGCTCCTGCAGCTAGGAGACAGCCCAAGGTTTTGACCATGGAAATTAAATCCAAGAATATTTGGGGGTTCTCCAAAGAGGCACCATATCATTAAGTTTCGGCTTGTTAGGCCTGTGTCTGAGGCGGTGCACACGTTATACCTGCAGTAATAACTGCAGAGACATAGAAAGTATCTGATGCTTGTGAGGCTCCTCAACTCATTGCTAAGATCATCAGCCCCCTAGTGGCCCGTTATGGAGTCTGTGGCTCACTTAGTGGATTCGTGTCTTGGGAAGTCACTGGACACTTTGCAAGAGACCCTGGGACTTTCCCCGTCACATTTTGCACTTTGGGTGAGAGTGACTGTTCATATCATCCGGTTACTATTAACCCTGCGGCTCAGAGAGTGACAGCGAGGTGGTTAGGGGTAGGACAGGGGTTATGATTTGAGATAAAACTGTTCTTTAATACTGGTAACATAATGGTCTAGAAAACCCAATTGAGGCTCAGGGACTTATCGCACCACATTCAGCTTATAGAGCATAGTGAAAATGCGATGATTTGAGTATTGGCATTAGGTAGTTCATTTATTTTTTTGGAGGATGGAAGCTGGGGTTTGGGTCATGGTTAAAGACCGGGGGTATAAACAGTTGGGTTTGAGGTTTGCAGTAGGGTTCTATTTCTGGGATTTGAGTAAAAATCTTTCCCTGCCCCAAACTCCAGGGATGGAGATTCTACCCCTTCCATAAGGAATTCATCCCATCCTCCTAGGGATAAAGTTTTTCCTAATATCAAACACAAACCTCGCCCAAACTCAGTTTTGGACACACCCTATGTCATAATCTTTCTAGTCAAGTTCATCCCTCAAGAAAACACTCAGGGTATGTCTACACTACCCTCCTAGTTCGAACTAGGAGGGTAATGTATGCATACCGCACTTGCTAATGAAGCCCGGGAAATTCACATACCGGGCTTCATTTGCAAGTGCGGTATGCATACATTACCCTCCTAGTTCGAACTAGGAGGGTAATGTATGCATACCGCACTTGCTAATGAAGCCCGGGAAATTCACATACCGGGCTTCATTTGCAAGTGCGGTATGCATACATTACCCTCCTAGTTCGAACTAGGAGGGTAATGTATGCATACCGCACTTGCTAATGAAGCCCGGGAAATTCACATACCGGGCTTCATTTGCAAGTGCGGTATGCATACATTACCCTCCTAGTTCGAACTAGGAGGGTAATGTATGCATACCGCACTTGCTAATGAAGCCCGGGAAATTCACATACCGGGCTTCATTTGCAAGTGCGGTATGCATACATTACCCTCCTAGTTCGAACTAGGAGGGTAGTGTAGACATACCACCAGATCCCAACTGAGTTGGAGAAAAGTTTTTTTGTGGACTCTTTCCTAACACCTACAGGAGAAATCTCTCAAGAACTGCAGCTCCCTCAATTTCTGGGTGCCAAAACTGGAGATGATTTGAAGTGGGCATGAGCTGGACATCTCGGAGCTGGTCTGAACTGCAGAGAAAGCCCTAAACATCCCAAGAGAGGGCACCTCAAACACAGAGCCAGCTCTACTCAAAGGCAAAATTAGCAACCTGAACTTCCATCTGTCCCCAGAACTGGGGTTTCTGGGACGTGGCTCTGCCAGGAACTCCCCATGCATGGACCATGAGCACAGAGCTCCCCATGCATAGACCAGGAGCAAGGCAGGGATGGCACAGAGAGACCCGCTCCTGAACTCCGTGAGTTCAGGGTGTTCCCTCTAACAAGGGACACATCAAAGGGGGAATTTATGCCTGAGTTTAGCTAGTTTTCTGTTGCAAACTTTTTTAATCGGACGAAAGAAACCAGACAATTAAGTCCCCGTCAAAAAAGCTCAGCTGTGCCCATCCAAGTTCTAACGGAAGGTCCCGCTGTCCCCACCCTGAACACCCCACCTCTGTCAATGTCCCTTAGGCCTGGCTTCCAGCCCCCCTACCTGATAAATCCCACAGCCCCCTTGCTCTCCCGCACAGTCCGGTGCTTCCCTTCAATTCCCAGAAGCTAGTTCGGCCTTGGGACCCTCCCGGCTCTGCCAGTGCCCCTCACTCCTGACCCACAGACCCTCCCAGACCAACCCTGGCCCCCATCTATGCCAGGGCCCCTGATTCCCAACCTGGAGCCCCCTGCCAGACCAGCCCTGCCCCCCAGCTCTGTCAATATCAAACGTTCCCACCCCACCCATCCCTGGGTCCCCCAGCCCTACCAGTGCCTCTCACTCCCAACCTGCACCTCTGCTCGCCCAGCTCTGAACACCCTCTAAACCTGCCGGTGCCCCCTCACTCCTGTCCCTCGGCCCCTGAGAGCCCAGACAAGCCCCCCAGCTCTGCCTGGGCCCCCGATTCCCTACCTGGACCCCCTGACAGACCAGCCCTGCCCCAGCTCTGTTGACGAGAACCAGTCCCACCCTGCCCATCCCTGGGTGCTCCTAGCCCTGCCGGTGCCCTTCACTCCCCACATGCAGCCCCTGCCAACCCAGCCCTGGGCTCCCCCGAGTATTGTCCCCACCCCTCAATCCCAACCTGCTTCTCCTGCCCCCCAGCTTTGGGCCCTACTCACCCTGCTGGTGCCGCACAAACTCGACTTGCAGCCCCTGCAAACCCAGTTCTGCCCCCACGGCAGATCCACAGCCCCTGCTAATTGTTCCGCCCAGGGATAATGACCCGCAGTCCCGGCCAGCACAGCTGTGATCCAATCAGCAGCCCCTGCTAGCCCCGTCCCAGCCCCCCAGCACAGCCTGTGCCCTTCGCTCCTGACCCATAGCTCCAGCAGGCCTCTCCATACAACCCCAGTGCTGCCAGTGCCCCTCACTCCCGACCCACAGTCCCTGCTAGCCCAGCCCTGGGCTCTTCCTGCACTGCTGGTGCCCATCACTCCAGACCTGCACCCCCTGCTAGCCCAGCACTGGGCTCCCTAGGCCATGCCAGTTCCCCTGACTCCTGATCAACACCCCTGCTAATTGCCAAGCCCGGGCATCATGACCCGTAGTCCCTGCTAGCTCAGATACGTTCCTCCAGTTCCCTTTCTGCCCCTCACTCCCATCCTCCAGCCCTGCCCTGTGCTCCCTGCAGCCCGGCCAGTGCCCCGCACTCCCATTCCACGTCCCCTGCTTGCTCAGTTCTGGGCTCCCCCCAGACTCTGCTGGTGCACCCACACCTGCGCTCTTGGGGCCTGGGAGCTCTTTCACCCCTGGCTCCCCAGCGGCTGGGTGGGGTGTGAGGGATGCAGCTCTGCTCTTCCCCTGCTCTGAGGACGGGGCACAGCCTGCCCTGAGTTGTCCTGTTTGGGCTCCCCGGCCGTGTCCCCGAGCCCTGTCCCCGCTGCTCAAACCCGATCTCCTGCCCCTGCCAGCCCAGCCCTGGGCCCCCAGCCCAGCCCGCGCCACCCAGAAATTGAGGGAGCTGCAGTTCTTGAGAGATTTCTCCTGTAGGTGTTAGGAAAGAGTCCACAAAAAAACTTTTCTCCAACTCAGTTGGGATCTGGTGGTATGTCTACATTACCCTCCTAGTTCGAACTAGGAGGGTAGTGTAGACATACCACCAGATCCCAACTGAGTTGGAGAAAAGTTTTTTTGTGGACTCTTTCCTAACACCTACAGGAGAAATCTCTCAAGAACTGCAGCTCCCTCAATTTCTGGGTGCCAAAACTGGAGATGATTTGAAGTGGGCATGAGCTGGACATCTCGGAGCTGGTCTGAACTGCAGAGAAAGCCCTAAACATCCCAAGAGAGGGCACCTCAAACACAGAGCCAGCTCTAC